TCTGATTTATGTTGTTTTGGTCATGCATGCCATGCTTTGTATAGCCATAGTGCATTTTAGCTCACTAGCCTTGAGTTTCCAAGCCACTAGCATGCATTGCTTGGGCTATTTGCATGATTTAGCATCATTTGGAATGATATTTCAGAGCTTATATCTTTTCCATATTCTCATGTTTATCACTCCTTCAATGTGTTTGAGAGTTGCACATTTATGCCTTGTTTGTGAGCCATTGCATAAGCCTCATTTTCTTGCCTTTCAAGCCATCATCTCAGTCCATTTTGACTATTGTTTTGGTCTGCATAAGGTCTGTTTGGGGCTGGTTTGGTCATTTGAGCATTGTCTTGCATGCCTCTAGTGTAATACACTTCACTAGCTTCGATGCTTGAGCCTTTCAACATGCATTACATGGGTTATTTGCATGATTCTAAGTCATTTTGCATACCATTTCAGTGCTGGAACATATGCCATTGTACTCCATGTTTCATCCTTTCAATGCCTTTGGAGAGTTGTATTTTGTGTCTTGAGCTTGGACCAATATGCATGCATGTTTGTATAGCATTTTGAGTTTCTATCTTAGCATTTATGGCCACTGATTTGGGCATGACTGAGGTCAGTCCATTTTGGTTTAAGTCCATCGAGCATTGTATATGCCATATGGTTCATTGCGTTGTGTATGCCATGTTCATTTGCATTGTGTATGCTAGTTATTGTTCATATTGTTGCATGCTTATGTTTTCTTGTATTGAGTATGCATGCATGAGCATAATTTGCATATCATTAGCTTTGTTAAGTTAATCATGTCACATTGCATTGAGTGGGCCATGTGGTTCGTAGCACTGTGCATTGAGTATGCTAAGTTACATTGCATTGCATGTTTGCATGTTTGTCCCTTGCATGTTGTTTGCATGCTTGTTTAGTTGTATTGCATCGAGTTGCATGCTTGAGTCGCATTGGGTATGCCATGCATGCTTTGCATTTGTGTTTGGAATAGGAGTTAGTCCAAACACGAAAAATGAGGAACATTTCATACTTGAAGTGATGAAACGCGCCTCAATTCTCGGTTGCCGACTCTCTTAATCGTACATGATAGAGTTTTAGGCTTTATGTGTTTACTTGTGCATTCATTTCCATATTGAATTGTGCAACTTCGCTTCTCGGCCATCATGCATTGAAATGCGTGATTGATGGCCCGAGGGTCGAGAACCACACTCCCTCCCTTGAGCTTATAAAATGATAGGGAGGGTGGTTGTGCACACATATCTTACAAATACATTGCCATGCCCTTTCTTGCTCTCTGTTGCAGCAAATTGAAGTCTGGCAGCAGAAACTGGTCGGCCGACCAGGTAAAGTGGCTGGCCGACCAATTTTTTTAGTTTTCAGCACAAAAAGTGGTCAGCAGGTGGTCTCCAATGCCAACAACTGGTTGGCAGCATCCCTACAAGTTCCCATTGTGGAGTTTTAGCCTTCTGGAGCCTTGTGCAGTGTTCTGGGACCAGTTGCAAACAGAGGCAAATCGGGGCATCGCGATGGATTTTCAAGCTAGGCGATTCGAGCATGCATGCATCCCTCGTCATGAGGCCATTTCAGTGTTTTGTTAGCTTAGAATGTATATTTGTTTCAATTTTGGTTGTGTAATAATTAATTAGCTAGAATAGTTAGTTAATTAGTCGGTTCTGTATTATTTATTCGGACCCTCCTCCGAGAGGGCAATGCTGTAAATAAGTGTGTGTGTGTGTGTGTGTGTGTGATGCATGTCTTCTAACCCCCATTTCTTTCTCTCTTTTATTTACCAGCTTACGATAGTTAGTTTTAGGGCATGTTTCAATTAGCATCCTTATGCTCGCATGTTTGCATCCATTCATCTGTTTTGCATGCACCGGGCTCGGCACATCATACTAACTGCATTGTATTTCGATTCCTATTTGAATACATGTATGAAATTACATTTCACATGACATTTTAGAATAGCCGAGCCTACCTTAGTTGCATTTTTGTTTGTGTTGCATTACGCATTCTTGACATACCTAGGATCATGCATTGATTTCTAACATAGCTTTTGTTTTGACTCGGAGTACTCGGTAAGTGTTTATGCTTTAGCATCCTTGCATGAGTGTGAGTGTTACCATGATAGCATGCTTGCCATGAGGCTATGTGCTTATGTGACGTAACTACTTGGATGTCTGTGGGTAAATATTGGATTATTTGAATTGGAATAATTCATTTATTGCAAGTTTTAGCCCACTTGAGAGTGGCAAAATCATATTTTCCTAAGCCTACTTAAGGGTGGCAAAATCTGCATTTTAGCCTACTTACGAGTAGCAAACTGTTTTCAAAACAAACGAATATGAGGTGTTTTGTTCCAACTTAGGCGATCCAGTCTATATTTGTATGTTGTGCGTATCACATAGTAATTCTAGGTTAATAACCAGAATAAGAGCACATGTGTTTTCAAAAACAAGATATCATGTTAGTAAAGGCCGATCTTTGATCGGGCGAGCGGGGGTGCTCATTGCATGACCTTCCCCTCTTGTACCCAAGTTCCCAAGCCGAGGCAACTTTGGTGATGACGGACACGTGGCCTTAGGCACGAGTCAGGGTTTCCTAAATTTTCAAAAAATAAAATATTTAGGTGGCGACTCTGTATCTGGCAAAGCAGTCCATGTTTGGCACTTCTTTCTAAAAATTAATTTTTCAAAATGATTTGCCGGATTTGGACTCTTTGGTTATTTATCAATCTCGCATTGCACTTTGCAAGATCAGATTAAGAACCGTGACATTGAGTCTGAACTGTAGTGAGCCCAATGAACAAAACGGGATTTTCCCTGGTCGTTCGAGCGCGTCTACACTATGGTACTGGGTGCTGTTGAGGGTATCATTGACCTCTCTGAGCTTGTCCTGCGAAAGGTGTTGTAATAGGAGGAACAACCGTTGTTTCTCTCCCAGCCACAAGAAACCCTTCCAACCCCCTGGGTGTGAATTAGAACAAGGGATTAGTGAACCCCCTTGTGCCAGGTACGGCTTCGAACATGGGATTTGAAAACATTCTCATGCCATTTTCTTATGTTGACCCAAATCCGCCAATTTGTATGGCTTCACTGTTAGATAATGAGTCATTTTGATTTACCATAGGCCTCGAAAGAGGCTCATACCAAGACTGAGGTATAAGTGATGGCCTTTCATAATTTTAATTACTAGTCTGACCATTAGTATGTCCATTACTTTGCATAAGCTGTTTATCTCTAGCCAATCTTTGCTGAGGAACATTTGAATTTTCCTCCATATGCCATGTGTTAGCTGGTTGATGGGAATTCATCCGATCCATAAAGAATATTGTCCATCTTTCTATTGTGTTCATTAATTGCTGTCCCATGGCATCTACCAAGCCTCCTCATGGATTCATTGGTTGAGTAGATGGAATAGTGAATGGTTCAATTCCATGGCCTCGTCCAATATTTGAATATGTGGTGCATGTTCTGAATTACTGGTCTGTTCGACCATAGGTTCTGATGAGATAGTGCTTCCATAGGATGTGTTATCATATTATCCTCTGGATCAGGTACCTTTACCTCTCATTTCACACCTTCTTCCACGCGTTCATTTTCTCCTTATCTCCTACGTCTAACCATTTCAATTAGTCCCACTGGGCGTGCCAAAAATTCATGTTGGCTTTCGAAGGTTAATATTGTAATTTTAAGCGTGCCAGCAAGGATCAATAATCAATCCTTATAGAAAATTAATTGTCAACCAATTATCAGACGATTGTGTTTTAGTTCTCTCAGCCTCAATAAAGAGGACTTTTACTGGTGGCTTGTTTAGGAGAATTTAGTAAATAACAATTAAGTGAAGAATAATTTCAGAATTTCATTAAGTAAAATAAATTGTCTCGTAGAGGTTTACAGTAACAAGCTATTTGAAACTACTCTTATGAATGAAGTGCAGTACAGGAATTTGAAGTACAGAAATGTAAAGAACTGTAAAAACTAGAAGGGAAAACAAAGTAAATAAAACTGATTTTTTGATCTGAGTCTGGATCCTTCATTCTGGGGCCTTCTCTGCTATTTATACTTCTCAATAATAACTGTCGAAGTGGGCTTCTAATCGTCGAAATGTCCTCGCATGATTGTTGAACATGCTCTCTCATAGTCAGTCTCACTATGCCACCTTTATAATTAGGTTTCCTTCCTGATTTTGAATTTAAACTTTGTAAGTAACCGTTAGGTCACATCACTCTATATCTCTTGATTGTTCTAGTGCTACGCAGATCCATTATTATCAATACGGGCTGACACGTGTTTGACTTTGGTTGGCAACTTGTATTAACTCTCTAAATTACCTTCTTCATGTCACGTGTTAAATTGTGATTGATTTTTATAAATTATACCGCCAACAAATAGGTATTCTAATGTAAAGAATATGGCTTATTTCCGATGTATCGAAGAAAAAAATGTAAAGGATATGATATTATTGTTTTCCATCCACACTAAAGTCAAACAGAATGAGATAAGCTGCTATTCAATTTATATTTTGAGGATAGTGGTTGTAATTATATAAAAAATGTGGAGCTAGTTTAGGTGCATCCAAAAATAAAAAGAAAAAAACTAAATAATGAAAATAATTTCACTAAAGCCAAAAAAAATATAAAAAAAAACTCAAAAAAAAGTTCTCCAAAAATAAACAAAACAAATTATAGCTCAAACATTAATTGATATGTATGTTGAGAGCAGAAAACCAGTCGTCAAAAATCTAATTTTTTGTTCAAGAAATGTATAAAATCATGAAGAGTTTGAAATTGTAGCTCAATATATATTCACAGTACAAGAGAACTTAAAGAAAAGCTATTCCAAATTGTGCAAAATATAATAAAATGGTACTTTATCTAGATTAATTTAACTAATACAGAAGCATAAATTCAAAAATCATTTGCTAAAATTCAATAATGATAAAGAATGCATTAGAAAATGCAAAATTACGTAACTTAAAAAAGAAAAAAATAACGACATAATTAGAACAATGAAAGAAGAAGACAAACACACCATCACAAGTCTTTTGAGTTATAAGATGCCAAACTCTCCATAACTAAGAGAAGGAAAATTGAATGAATTGAAACCAAGAGGCATATATGTCTTCTCCTTAGCTATTGACAAATCGGCATGATGCTCTGATCTCCCCTTGTGTGCCGGTGAGAACTTGGACTGCACCCAACTTGACCATGGCCTGGGCGAATTGGAATGAGAAGTCATACCCCCATGCTGCATTTATCACCGTGAGCATCGTTTGTGGATCAAATGATATCTCTTGGTCGATTTGAAGGATACCTTTGCGAAATAGTATTTGTCGATAGTAAGAATTGTCAACAACAAATGAACTTTGAGGATTTTGGTCAAGATAAGCTGTGTTGTCAATTGTTGCATTCTGAGGACATTTTAATCTCAATGTGATTAGCAGCATAGGGTCCACGGTTGGGTCGGGCATTCCAGTGTTCTTGAAATTGTAGAGACGGTCTTTGAAGAGCGAACAATGTGCAACTCCAACAGTGTGACCGCCTAATATGTATTGGAGAGCGAAATCACAAAATAGTTAGTCAATAAATTAATTGATTGATTTCCAATGTGTAAACAAGAGATTGAGAAACAAATATAGATTCAAAGTACCAAGAAGATAAACCATATCGATAACGCCAAGCCCTTTATTGGCAAATGCTTTGATGGAGTCCGACACTGATATGGAAGGAGCTGGAAGATTCACATTTTGAGCAAGAGATACAAGTCCATCCCTTCGCCCTGTTTGGACACGGTATTGCTCTCCTCCACTCTGCTTGTAAAAAACTCAATATCACCATTGTGAAATTGTGATTACTATTATTGCTAAATATAATGATCATGAGTTAGACTTATGATACCACCAATATATAATCGCATCACCGATGATACTAATACGTATTATAATGCTGTTATTTAAACCATGTATAATTCTATATAAGAGAGAGAGAGAGAGAGAGAGAGAGGGTACTCACCAAAGATACTGCATCTCTGGTAGCCATAACAATGATGTCAGCACAAGAGACTACTCCCGGGCATACAGCCTCCACAGCAGCCTTTGCAGCATCAATTATGTCAAAGCCCCTCACACTTAGATTTGGGAATGCTGTTTTCTCACTGTTGCTACCATCTAGTAGGATTGATGCATCACATCCCTTTCCATAGCAAAGATCAATATCAGCTCACATATTCCATTCAAAACAAAACAGAGAAAAAGAAAAAGAAAAAAAAAATCAAAACAACTATAGCAGTCCCATTAATGCAAGAGTAGGGATGGCAATTTGAACCCGATCCGACAGAGACCCGGCCTCCTGACCCCGATTAGAACGGTTTTTCTCCGAAAAATACCCCGACGGGCCAAAGATGGTATTCGAAAATGAATTCTGGACAATTTTCGGGCTGGGGACGGTGATATGTTCCCCAGCCCCATCCCCGTTTTCCTAAACTGAAATTACTATTATATCCATTCATGTATATTCCCCTCTATTATACCCCTTTGTCACTCTCTCTCTCTTCCCTTTACTCTCTCTCATCTCTCCGCAGCAACGTAGTCACGGTCGCCTTCTCCTTCATGCCACGGCTACTGCCATAATACTAGAGTCGCCAAACCTCCATACTCCGACGTCGTTTCCCTCCGCTACGACAGATATGAGTAAACGTCAACAGAAGTTACAAGCGTTGCCAGCGTCGATTCACTTTCTCTCACACCTGACGTCCTCCTCCTCCGTCGTCTATCGCCGCCGACACACCGCATAATCTCTTTACTTAGATCTCTCTCTCTCAGTCTCTCTCTCTTTTTCTATGACACACACTCAAATACACAGATCTTAGATTTGTTTGATGACACAAAGAGATCTCAAATCCGTGTTGATGATACACACTCAGATCTCATGTGCGTGTGTATGTATACATGTATGTATGTGTGTGTCTCTATTTGTCTCTATTTTTTTATTTTTTTTGTAGTTGATCTGTTGTGTATGTGTATGTGTATGTGTATGTTTATGTGTAATTGTAGTTATTTTGGTTGTTGATGATTTTGTTGTTTTTGTACGAGAATTTTTCGGGGTCAGGGAAACCTGATTCCCGTTAGGGGACAAGGGGGGAGTGATGGGTTCCTCGCTGGGGATGGAGAGCGAGGATGGAAAATTCTATACCTTCGGGGATCAAAAACAGGGAGTGTAATCTCCAGCCCCGCCTCCAGCCCGTTGCCATTTCTATGCAAGAGTTAACATCTTTAAAATTGGATTTGACATTTTTTTTTTAAGCAAGCATAATCAAAACAACCACAACATATGGTATTTTGTTGATAAAAAAAAATAAAAAATGAAATTTTGATATTTTATATCGTTAATGCATGACTATTACACTAAAAAATGTGAACTTTTTTAAGGGTACACATTGTAGCATTTTTTCTAAACTAAACGGTTAACGCTTTTTAAATTGAGTTATATATATATACATGTATGTATGTATATATACATGTATGTATATATATATATATACATGTATGTATGTGTGTGTCTCTATTTGTCTCTATTTTTTTATTTTTTTTGTAGTTGATCTGTTGTGTATGTGTATGTGTATGTGTATGTTTATGTGTAATTGTAGTTATTTTGGTTGTTGATGATTTTGTTGTTTTTGTACGAGAATTTTTCGGGGTCAGGGAAACCTGATTCCCGTTAGGGGACAAGGGGGGAGTGATGGGTTCCTCGCTGGGGATGGAGAGCGAGGATGGAAAATTCTATACCTTCGGGGATCAAAAACAGGGAGTGTAATCTCCAGCCCCGCCTCCAGCCCGTTGCCATTTCTATGCAAGAGTTAACATCTTTAAAATTGGATTTGACATTTTTTTTTTAAGCAAGCATAATCAAAACAACCACAACATATGGTATTTTGTTGATAAAAAAAATAAAAAATGAAATTTTGATATTTTATATCGTTAATGCATGACTATTACACTAAAAAATGTTAACTTTTTTAAGGGTACACATTGTAGCATTTTTTCTAAACTAAACGGTTAACGCTTTTTAAATTGAGTTATATATATATATTTCTTTTCTTAAATAACTTTTTTATTATTATTCTAAGGGTAAATTATACTTTGCTCCTTTTATGTTTGGTCATTTTCTCATTTTGACCCTTCAAGTTTATTTATTTTTTTCACTTTGACCCTTCATATTTTAATTTTTTTTCAATAGACTCCAAAAGCTAATTTGTGTAAAAAATTAGATAGAAAATGGAAAATATAATCATGTGACATAAAAATATTTTATTAAATATAATTTATGACACTTATACAGACTCAAACTCTAATATAATAATATACTTTTGCTGTTATGTAACATGATATTTTTTTCTAATTTTAAATAAAAAGTTGGCTTCAAGAGTAAACTGGAAAAAAAATAAAAATAAAGGGTCAAAAAGGGGAAAAAAACAAATGTAAAGGGTCAAAATGAAACAATGGCCAATATAAAAGGAACAAAATGTAATTTATCCTTATTCTAAAGTGGCAAATAAGTTTTTTCAATTAGAGAAGAAGTTGATTTGATTAATTATTACTTCATGAGGCATCTTAATTTTATGTGAATTAAAACTTGATAACTAAAATATAGAAGTTCGAAGTATCTTTGTTCAAGTTTATTAATACAACAAACAAATTTAGGGACAATCACTTTTTATAGACAAAACATATTAGTTATAAAAAATTTCATTATTATATTTTTAATGATAAAATTAGATATTTAGTAATGAATTATTATCTTTTTAGGATTACAATTTTTGTCTCATAAAGTAAAATCTTTTGACACAGAATTGTTTTGTTTCTAAAAATATATTTATTAGCGATATTTTTAAAATCTTGTCAGTATATATATTTTATCTTTTTAGAACGATCTTTTTGTAACGATTTACACGATAACTGAAAATTAGTCTTCTAGGTCCCGTTTGTTTTCATAGGTAGAATGGGGGGGATTCATAAAGAGGGGAGTAATAGTGAGGAGATTGTTAGTGAGGGGAATGATAGTGAGGGGATTAAGTAGAATTATGTTTGTTTTGATGATAGTTATTAAGTGCAGGAATTGTTAAATTATTTTTATATAAAATAATAAAACAAATATAAAAAATTAAACATTAATATTTGAAAAAAAAATCCCAATATATAAAAAATAAATTTTTTTTTAATTTTCTCATTATTTTTTTAATACCATCTCCACCTCCTCCATCTCAATCCCCCTTCCAACCTCCATCTATATCACATCCTCCATCCTAATCCCCTCTCCAACTCTACAAACGAACATAACACTAAATAACCCTACCTCCATCGTAATCCCCTCCTATCTATTTAATCCCAAAACAAACGGGCCCTAATGTTTTTAGCCATAAAATCATCACTGTTTGGGATGAAAAAATTTAACCTCTAAATTTATATATATATATATATTATCAACTTTCTTTAACTCATTTAAACTTTTTTGTCTCATAAACTGAACTAAAAATGCTATTATAGATTTTTAAATTAAAAAAAGAAAAAGAAAAAAAGAAAATTATAAACAGTTCCAATAAACTGCAGTAAATCGGCCTAAAACTCTTACATTGACAAAGCAATCATGGAACTGCATGCGGAGGAGGGCGGCAACGATAGTCGGATCCTTCTTGATCCAGCCAGCAATGACACCGCCGACAATGGCCTCGACGTTTTTGCCGCTACATTTTCCTTCATAGAATCCTACCTGCAGCTGACCATAGCACTGGCCTGTGAAGCTGCTCATGAAGATCAGCCCAATGGCTAGTCCTGCTAAAACTGGCTTGGACATTTTCAACTTAAACTCTTTTGTTTTCCAAAACAAAAACAAAAAAAAAAAAAAGATGTTTTGATATATGAAATAAGTATGACAGTGTTCACTCTAATTTATAAGAGAAAGAAAGCAAAACCTTGAATGGTCTGCACGACCATGGGGAGATTCATGGGAACGTGCCCTCATGTAAGGATATATCATTGACTAAATCAGATATGGTTTGAATAAAAAATAAATTGCTAGTTGAGTTTTGATAATTAATGAGAAAGATGTGATGATTAGTTGTGGGTATTGAGAGTTTAGAGAGAAGAGAAAATAAATTTTCAAAATTTATATACTTTTGTGAAATGAAAAGTAAGAGGAGTTGACGATTTTTCTTTAAAACAAGTGAATAATTGTATTCGTGACGAATTATTATTTGTTGAATCAAATTTGAATATTTTAAAGTGAATCATAAAGATGGGATGATAGTAATGGAAGAGACTTTAATTATGAGTTTTGAAAATGACGTGAATTGGAAGTTGAATTAATTGAAGTTGAAAGATAAAAGTTATGTAACGTATAAATGTTAATAAAATCTAAATCAAGAGGATAAAAATTGAATTCATGGACTTGGTATATGTTGTTTATAAGGTTGTATCATTGGCCATCGGTAGATGATGGTATTAACGTTATTGAATAATTTGTGAAACTTGGAATAATGTGTCAATTGTTGAGTTGAATGAAAGTGTGCATTGATATGGGTTCCTCTTCCCTCCGGATTTGCGTCCGGTAAAGCTTGGCGTTTTGATATGGGTTCCTCTCTCATCCGGTTCGTGCCTGGTAAAGGGTGAACTGGTTCATCTCTCCTCCGACTCAAGAACCGATAAAGTTTAGCACTTTGAAATTGGTTCATCTCCCATTTGGCTCACACACGGTAAAGTGGGTTATGGTGGTTATGGCTTGGCGAAGCCGGAGTCCGTTATGTATTAATTACGCGTAGTGTATCTTCATACTTGTGTTGCGATGAGAATGAATGCATTATTGGCTTTCCATGCTTGTGACCGGTAAAACATGGTAATGCGTGTTGACGTTTCTATTGTTATATATATATATGTGTGTGTGTGTGTGTGTGTATGTGTATTTGTGAATGCTCATTTTACACTTTTGCTTAAGACCATAATATATAGTAATTGTCCTTGTAACCGTAATGAGTTGGAATGTACAAGTGTATTCTTTAGATCGATCTTAGGAGATCGTGATAACGTGATAAATGGTTGAGATTTCTTTAAATGCAAATGAAAAGTTTTGAAAGGTAAGTATTGGTCTTTGTTTCTTGTTATTTTGAAAAATTATATTTATGTAAATATATTTTGAAATATGAAATGTCACGTATCCTATGTGTAACGCCCTCAAAATAATACAAACCCAACACTTTAGACATGCATTGATATAAAGGAAACTAACCATTTCTATTCATCAGAGTAATTCTTACACCGTATTACATGTTAACAACAAAAGCAAATACCCTATGGGCTTACAGCTTTCCAAGTCAACACTTGGTTACACAAAAGAAGAGTACTAACTCTATACAAAATAAGCCCTTGGCTTGATATACATGTAATACAAACAAAATAAACAAAAGGAGTCTTCAACTCTCATCATCATCCAAGCTATGTCCTTGGAGGTGGCATACTACCTGTACCTGAAAATAATGCCCCATAAAGGGTGAGCCAACGCCCAGTAGAGGTATGCTAAACACAGTATGAGCAATAACTAAGACATTAGCAATTGATAAATATTCAATTTTCATAAATCAATTCATAACCCATTTCCATTTCATTTCAATTTCCATTTCTTATCAATTTCACAATTTACATCAACGGCTTAGAACCTGGCCAACCACTTATATGAGACAATGACTCATATTAAACACTTCCCATTTTACAATAGATAAACATATTAGTTGTATCAACATATCAACAGATAACCATACAAGCTGTATCCACAATTGAACAGATATGCATATTAGCTATATCAACACTTCCATAGATAAGCATATGAACTATATCAACATATTATCTGACAAGCATATGAGTTGTATCAGTGGAGTCCATCCCCTATCTCCACCCAAACATCATTCGGTTTAGAGGTCCATCCCCTATCTTCCCCTAAACCGTGGAGTACATCCCCTATCTCCTCCCACACACACAACGTATATACACAAGGGTCATATACACAATCAATCAATACATAACGTTAATGTATTCTGTCAACCGTCATACTCTATGACATAACCAATTGATTAGTTTTAGTTTGCCTAATCATCATGCATTGTTTACAACAATCAAAACTACCCTCCACCGGTAGCCCAAGCAATTATTTCTAAACAGATAACAAAAGCTCCAACAGATAAAATATCAATGTTTTCAAAAGTGAGCGATTAATAAATCTAACTCCACTATTCAATCATATAACGAGTCAATTTTATTATTTCCAACTCAATTCAGTACAACTACCATTTTCTCAAATTAATCTTACCAATTAATTTATACCACCAATTAGGGTTTTCTACCCAATTTCTCAATATTGACCCAATGGTCTATATTTCAACAACCAACGACAATAATACCATTTTGAAACCCAAAATACATATTATGAGCCCAAAATCACAAAACCCTCTTTAACACATTTTGAAACCCTAAGTCCCAAAATCAACCATTTAAACAATAAGCTCAAAATCTAGGTTAAAACTCATAAGAGTGAGTAGGAATCCCTACCTCAAATTCGGAGCTCAAGGGAAGAAGATGACGAAACTCAACGTGCTCCAAAACTCGAAATTTTCGGATCAAGGTAAAGCCCTCGACGATCAACCCAACTTTTGTGAAGACCAAAGGTGAGCCTAGCTAGATCAATACTTAGAGAGAAGTTATGGTTTTAGAGAGAGGAGCTCTCAAATGGCTTTTTGGAAAAGTAAGAGAGAGAGAGAGAGAGAATGCAAAAAGTGATTTTAAAATGCCCAGCTGCCAACTGATATACGACATTCCCGCTCGAGCGGAGAACACAACGCTCGAGCGTCAAGAACAAAAACTAGGTCCGCTCGAGCGCAATAAGACCCGCTCGAGCGCCATGACACAAGAATAAAGTACACCCGCTCGAGTGTGAAAACCAGTCCGCTCGAGCGTAGATTTCCCCCTCCCAGAACTTGAACCAAAAAGGTACTACCCGCTCGAGCGCCAGAGTACCCACTCGAGCGCCACCGCTCGAGCGTAAAGAAACCCGCTCGAGCGTAAACATCACACCTGCAGAAGTTTTGCAGGGACACGAAAAACTGGGAGTGTGCAATATCCGCTCGAGCGCAAAAAGACTCGCTCGAGCGGAACGACCAAAAACCCGGCAACAAGATTTCAGACCAAAGTTCAACCCACCTGTTCGAAACAAGCCCCAACACATCCTATAACTCAAACAAACGGAATTAAAGGATGACAACAAGATAGATACAACACTCAACTCCACGGAACTGAGTCCGGAATACAACAGAACAGTAAAGGGACAACCGGGATCGTTATAACCTCTCCCCCTTAAAGAATTTCTTCCCCGAAATTAATCACAAGTTTTTCAAAAATAGGTTTTCTCTATTCTCAACAGTATTATAACATAATATTAAACAACCCGACCCATTACCGGTCAATCCCATCTCTTTTCAAGAGGCATTTCACATTACACGTAACAACCTGCATTATCAACATGCATTCCTTTGAAATCTACCAATTTCAACCTATTTTTCACAATTTCTTAACACATGCAACATTAATATTATGCTTGCATTTCCACAATATACTTAACATACACAATGTTAAAACAAACTTCCATTAACCAAAACAAACTTCCATCAACAATGCTCTTAAAGTTCAACAATATTGCAGAATTTCATTACAAAATTACACATCAACAAACAAGTCCGGATAATTCTCATGGACATCCGCCTCATGTTCCTAAGTGGCTTCCTCCACTCCGTGATGTTTCCACAAAACCTTTACTAAGGGGATGGTCTTGCCTCGCAGGATTTGATCCCGCCTATCCAAGACCCGAATCGGTCTCTCCTCGTACGAGGCATCCTCATCTACCTCCAAGTCGGTCCAATCTAACACATGGGACGGATCCGGTTCATACTTCCAAAGCATACTCACATGAAACACGTCATGCACTCCGGACAATTGCGGCGGTAAAGCTAAACGATAAGCAACCTCCCCAATCCTCTCAAAGATCTCAAAGGGACCAATAAACCGAGGGGACAACGTCCCACTCTTCCCAAACCTCATCAAACCTCGCCTAGGTGATATTTTCAAGAAGACGTGATCACTTACCTCAAACGCCAAACGCCTCCTCCTACGGTCGGTATAACTCTTTTGGCGGCTCTGGGCTGTAACAAGCCTCCTACGGATAAGCTCAACTTTTTCCATCGTCTCCCTAACCAACTCCGGACCCAACAAAGGTGCATCACCCACCTCGGCCCAACACACTGGAGACCTACACGGTCGGCCATACAAGGCCTCGAATGGTGCCATACCGATGCTAGACTGAAAACTGTTATTGTAGGCAAACTCCACCAAGGGCAAGTGCCTCTCCCACGTCCCACTGAAGTCCATATCCTCGAGGATCTGAATAGTACGCTCGGACTGCCCGTCAGTCTGAGGATGATAAGCCGTACTAAAGGTCAACTTAGTGCCCAAGGCACTCTGCAAACTCTGCCACAACCTAGCAGTAAAACGAGGATCTCTATCTGAGACGATCGTCACTGGGACCCCGTGCAATCTCACTATGTCCCGAATCTACAAATCGGCGAAATGATCTACCGAATCTCTTACGCACATAGGAATGAAATGCGCTGATTTAGTCAACCGGTCTACAACCACCCAAATGGCATCACTGCCCTGCTGAGTCCTCGGAAGACCTACAACGAAGTCCATAGTGATATGCTCCCACTTCCACTCAGCAATAGGCAAGGGTTGCAACAAACCCGTTGGCCTCTGATGCTCGGCCTTCACTT